ATGATGTAGCCGTCGAACCCCATCTCCAGCCTCTCTCGGGGGAACACTTCCCCTTGAGATCTACCATCACCGACGACAACGCGCGCCTTGATATCGCAGTCAGTGGATTGTATGGTGGACGGTTTGAGAGGACATTCCTTGATGTCCGGGTTTTCAACCCATTTGCCCCCTCAAACCAGAAGTCATCAATCCCGGCAGTGTACCGCAAGCACGAAAAGGAAAAGAGAAGAAGTTATGAGAGAAGAGTCGTTGAGGTAGAGCATGGATCATTCATCCCGGTCGTGCTCAGCACTACAGGTGGTCATGGCAAGGCAGCTGGCAATCTCTACGCTCGGATTGCATCCATGTTGGCCGATAAGAGGTCCGAGCCTTTCTCTATCGTCATGCCTCATGGCATACATCCGCACTCAACTGTCTTTTGCACTGGTCAATGCCGCAGTCACAGCCCTGAGAGGTCATCGGCACAAAGCGTCAAGAATCAACGGCTGCCCTTCGATCACGTTAGCAGTGGCAGAATGCAGCATGTAATGGTCAATCCTTGACTTAATTTGGTAATCGTTTTAGTACCTCGAACCCCTTGCTGAGTTTGATACGGTTTCTGGTATCTTGGCCGTAGACTACTACGCATACTGCTTCTAGCGGTTTCTTTGGATTTTACTGATTGATTACTAGTATACTGTATTTATTTATCATGACAAGCACTGACATGATGATGATGAAGTACTACAATCAGTGACCAGTGACGGTCTGTAGGTCGGACGGTGCGTTGACCCCGTTGAACTTTTGCTACTACAGTACAGCGCCCTCTACAAAAAAATTCCCCTGTTATTTTGAACAGAACCTTCAAACGACCCACGTGCCCTTTGCTAGGCTACGACCAATCAGCAGCCTCGGAGAGCGGGCTTTGATATGCCATCAAAGCCCGCTGCCATTGGCAACCTGTACGAGAAAACCATCAAAGCCCTGATCATGCCCAATCTCAGTCTTTTCAAGGTGATCTGGCTATAAGAACAAGAAACCGATAGGGGTGGTGGTCGGGGATGCGGTGTCTCTCAACTTGTGGAGTTGGAAATCTAGCTCCAGCACCGCAGAACTCTCAGCAGTATGCAGTGTGAGCAAGGTGTGTATGGTCGAAGTGAAAATACTTCCGTGACTCTTCAGCCACGTCTGGCTCTTGTCACGTAGTCCTGAGAATTTTCTCACGAAACAGGTTTTTCGTCCACTGACATGACTTTCCCCTTGCTGTAATCTCTGTTTGAAACTTACGAACGGGACGAAAACGACATGCACTTTAGACTTCAGGCTGCTCTGAAATCCCAAACGAAAGGCCGACATTGTCCACACTCGAGATCACCCAAAGAATAAAGCGATTGAATTCAAAATCAAAAAAATTGTTGGGGAGCGTCTGAAGCATATTCAACTTGTGGACGGTTGGAAATCTAGCTCCAGCACCGCAGAACTCTCAGCAGTATGCAGTGTGAGCAAGGTGTGTATGGTCGAAGTGAAAATACTTCCGTGACTCTTCAGCCACGTCTGGCTCTTGTCACGTAGTCCTGAGAATTTTCTCACGAAACAGGTTTTTCGTCCACTGATATGACTTTCCCCTTGCTGTAATCTCTGTTTGAAACTTACGAACGGGACGAAAACGACATGCACTTTAGACTTCAGGCTGCTCTGAAATCCCAAACGAAAGGCCGACATTGTCCACACTCGAGATCACCCAAAGAATAAAGCGATTGAATTCAAAATCAAAAAAATTGTTGGGGATCGTCTGAAACATATTCAAGCGAGGTACAGTCGGGTTTGATGACTGATCAAAGCCCTCGGGCCCAGCCCTCGGGCTGGTCCCTTGGCCTTTGATCAGCCATCAAGCCCTCTGTACCTCGCTTGATTATCTACATCATATACATTAGCAGCATATGCTAGCATAATGCGGCATAATATCATATCAAGAGTAGATAAACAAGAGTGTGCAACTCCGGATCTCTCCTGCACAATCTGCAGATACTCCCGCCCACGGCGGAATTTTTTGTTGACGTCACCTTTTTTCAGAGAAACGCGGACTTTGCCGCAGAGCAGTGTGAGAGCACGTGCTGGGCACAGACCTTGTAGTGTAAAGCCCGGCCAAGTGCACGAGGGAAACCTCTCCAAAAGGCTCGCAGCGCGTGCGTCGTCGAAAAGATTACGTCAACAAAAAATTCCGCCGTGGGCCAACCAATCCGCGAGTTGCACACTCTTGTTTATCTACTCTTGATCATATGTATAACGTTTAGCATAAAAATAGCATAATTCTGCAATTTTTTCAGCAATGCGAAAAGCATAATTTCACGAAAATCATTAGCATAATCCGTCAAGGCCTAGTCTGGAAACAGTGCCCAAAGTTCCAACTACCACAGGAACAATCTGAGTCCCAACTTGCCATAGCAAAACAATTTTTATAGTTGCAACTTTGCTCGCCAAGTTGCCTGAATGCAGATTACACGAATGATGGCATGGTGGCGAGTAAACGGAACCACTGATGGGCGATATGCATACAGTGTGAGTTGCTAGTGAGTCGCTAGTGCGTCGATGTTATGTCATGACTTTTCCTAAAACATCTCAACTGATGAGCGTATAACCTCAGTCATGAAAATGAGTCACAATGGAATTTGCCAAGGTTTTCATTGTGTGCCCTTATGTACGCCGCTCTGCCTGAATTCCGTATTGAGCACTGTCGCAGAACCAAAGCCTACTGCCTCTGTGATCGTATAACTTCTATAGCTTTGTAGTCCTACTACTACTAGTACTATACCGGACTCCTGTGTGTGCGTGTGTGTGTTGTGTGTGTGTGTGGTGTGTTGTGTGTGTGTGTGTGCGTGTGTGTGTGTGTGCGTGTGTGTGCGTGTGTGTGTGTGTGTGTGTGTGTGTGTGTGTGTGTGTGTGTGTGAGCGGGTGTGTGCGTCCCATATGGTGCAGTGATGTGTGCAGCGATTTCCAATCGATAGGTTGCGGGTTCGATTCCCGACAATCATGGTCACACATATCTTTCTTCTCTTTCTCAGACTGACTTTTCTTTCATTCTCCTGGGTGGTTACCAGCATCCAGTGCATGCCGGAGTATGTGGTGTGATGTGTGTGCGGGAAAAAAGATCAAAAAGTAGGGATTCACTGGCCAGAAAAACCCACTTCATAGCTGTATGGTGTAGACCAGGCTGAATAGTGGTGTTAATTCTTCAGCCTTGCAAGCTGGTGAATGGTGCAATCCCAGCACAAGTTGCTATGGTTTCTGCTGTAGTATCGCTATCATCGCCTCTGGCGACGGGCGTCAAATGGTCGAATGGTCATGGTGTGTGTGTGTGTCAGCTAATTCGGTTGGTGGGTACACTTATGCCAGATATCAAAGTGTTGGGTCTGTTGCCAACGGGCTCGGCTGCTTGAAGGTGTGTTGCTGTGCCTGCCACCTTTGTTGGTTTCAGGGTCCATGTACGCTGAAGTAACGTTACACACAGCTTAATCCTGAACTGCTTCTGGCTCTTGTGTAATCAATGATGTTAGTGAAGCCTATAATTATTGTGCACTTGACAGTCATCCTTATTTGGCGTCACGCCATCGCGTGGAATAAAAGAATAATACTATAAACTTCACTTATTATCTTGTCCGCTCTGATTTAGCCACCCGCACTAGAAGCAAGTATTAACCGGTTACCTTCACTGGGGGCAGGGGTGTAGGCAGTTGGATCCTGGGACGGATACCCTGATGCCGTCGATCCTTTTTCTGCACCTTGTCCTCACCCACTTACTGAGGTGTGGTGAGCCCATGAGTCGGATCATTTCCAAGTCCACCCAGAGTTTGGGGATTTCAGGGGGTGTCGGCCGTTGGGCGGTTCAAGAGCAAATTGAGTCATCCTTCCAAGATTCCTTCTGAATCTCTCTCCCCTCTTCCGGGCAGACTCGCGTGACCAGGTTTGGCAGTGAGTAAGTACAAGTAGCACAAGAGTGTGAATGCATGTGTGTTTAACCTTTAGCGCCTTAGCCCACCAGCTATTTGTCCTCACAAGCACTGTGCCAGAACTGCTGCTTCATAGCTCCCAGTCCACGGACCTACGGCTATTGCCCGCACCCCTCGGGCATTGAGTACTCGTTGGCTTTGGGCTTTGGTGCATCCTGCTGGATACTTCACTTGCATGGCGCTTTTTATTATTTTTTTATTATCTATTTTTCCATAAAACAGCTCATCTACAACATCCTCAACCCGTCACTGTGGTATATGGCCCAAAGCTCTGTCGCAATAATTATTGTATTGTGTACAGAATTTTAGATTTTCTTCTCCAGGCTTGTTTCTCCTCCCTCATGCAGAAACAACAAGAGTTTAGATATCAGCAAGCCAAGAAGAAAAACACTTGCTGAACTCTGATTGACTGAGGGTGGTTGGCCAGTCATTTCAGGTGTGAAGTCCAGAGCCAGGATAGGCTATAAAAGTAATCATTCCAGGAGGGGATGGTGGTCGGGGTTTGGGATGGTTAGTGCAAGTCTACAGTCTAGGTTGGAGACTGTGTGCCTCACGTGTTAGGTCACAGTCTCGGAATCTTGATACTGGATACTCCTCACAGAGTGCATTGTGTTCTTGCTGCATGGCACTATTGGCAACATTGCAGGTTTGACAATGTTCACAGGTTCCACTTACCTTGTATGGCATGTTCTACTGGTCACGTGATATTTCCCATGAAATGCAGAAGCAGATCATTCCCGAATCTAACGCAATTTGTGACCCAAGTTTTTGTCACATACTGCAAAAGCAGAAACTTTCGGTGGTGTAATATTTTCGGTATTCTCCAAAATCGGCGGTTCGATGGAGGGGAATTTTCGGTAAACCCGTTTTCCAGGTAAATATAGTACCGACATTTTCGGTGCGTTTTATTTTCGGTAAAAAATTTGGCACTGAAGATACCGAAAAAAAACGCCACCGAAAATTTCTTCTTTTACAGTATTGTATTTCCATGTTTGCTCCAGAGTGCCATCATCGTACACTAGCACAATGTATATAGTGTTGTACATGATTGATTGTGTAACAGCGATACAAATAATGGCAAGAACAGCAGTAGCAGGACGACACCACCACCACCAACAACAGCAAAAACAATAACCACAACAACAACAACGCAGCGGCTGCAGCAACAACGTCCGATGCACCTTTTTGCGTTCGTGTATTCTGTTTCTCATGCATTTCATCGGTGTGTCCTCAATATACTGAGACCTGTAGAGTGGTGTCAGTGCAGAATAACATTGCCGACTGTTAGTCGACAGCACCAAGCGCACCGAACACTGTTAGGCTCGACGGCATGCGAAAGCAGCAGCACGTGATGTACCGCTCGCACAGGGCGCAAGACAGCAACCCGTAAAATCTCACCAGCACGAACACACAAATGTATACGAACGGCCTGATGAGCATATAGTGGCAGCGTAGCATCTGTACGCGTTACACAGTCTGCGGCCTGTCACCGCGGCAACGAGTCACCCTGTGGCCCAGTACACTAGTGCTGGGGACTAATTTTAGCAAGACATTTGTTGTCCAGCAGATGCACCACGTGTTCATACTCCACCAGACAAAGTACAGTATCTGGTGCGTCTAGAGCGTGACGATGTCGAGACCAGGGTCGACGGAGCGCCTGGCCCCCATCACCATGGCTGCTGCATGTTACCATTGCGTGCACCACATGGCTTTTAGTAAAAAAATAAAAAATAATTTTAAAAAAGTTACACCATCCAGATCACGTGCTACTTGTTACGGCCTGCATTTCCTCATGCACCGCTAACTCACGTCATACCATATCCGTCCGTTACGCAGTGTTGAACGTCGGTCGGCTCTTGCCAACCGTCATCATGGTACTGTAGTGGCAAGACTCAGCTGACATAGGTCACATGATCTGGTCATGTCATGTGATCATAGTCGCATGACCTCTGGTCACGTGACAAGCGTAGCAACGGCACACTTGATCCTCCGATGCTTTCAGACTTGTGTGCTTGTGCAGCAAGACACCGCTGGCCGTGGTGGCACACGTGTACACTATCTGCCATAGCAGCTTATGTCGGCGAGTTGGGACACGAGCCGCGGCAATCCAGCACAGGGACACCGTTGTCATTGACACGGTTGCATCATGGCTCCGTAATTCGTGATCGACTCGGGATAACGGTGTGCAAATGTGCGCGAGCGACTCCCCGCACATGCGCTGCCCATCCTCAGCCCGGTCGTATCCACTTGTGCAGTGTCTTGACACAGCGTCTGCAGTGCAGCATAACACCGACAAAGTAGCCGACCACACCCAGCACCAGCAACGCCAGCACGACCAGAGATGCCTTCAACACCACTCTGCCCATCCTGCACATCCAGAACAAAAGAGTTTGCATGCACCAAAGCACACACACACACACACACACACACACGCGCGTGCGCGCGTACATGCAACACAGCTCATGCGTACACGATGGCACGCAAGAGAAAATCAGATCGTTTGGTCATGTACGGCGTTCGCAAGCGGGCGCTTGGGCAAGTATTTTAATGTCCCATAGATTGCAGTTTGCTTTGTCTATCACCTCATGCTTGTGTATATCTCTGTGTGCGTGTGCGTGTGTGTGGGGGGGGGGGGGGGGGGTATCAGGAGCCCATAGATTATATACAGATAGAAGCCCTGTCCCATGTGGGTGCACACATTCAGAGAGAGAGAGAAAGAGAGAGAGAGAGAGAGAGAGAGAGAGAGAGAGAGAGAGAGAGAGAGAGAGAGAGAGAGAGAGAGAGAGAGAGAGAGAGAGAGAGAGAGGAGAGTGAGAGAGAGCCTCGGAGATGGCTGACAGACCGACAAAACACACGAACACACACACACACACAAGTTGCATGGTATCATGGAAATAGCAGGGGCTTAGCAGCCGGTTCGGCTTTGGCCCGGACCACTTTTTGCCCGACCACGGCCAAAAGTGGCCAGAAAGCAGGATTTTGCACCCTAATTTCAAATTTTTCACGGGGGGGGGGAGACCCCTGGACCCCCTCCTGCCGGACCACTTCCAACGGCGGTGCTACGCGCCTGAATAGACATACCAGGATAGGATGACAGCCTTGCTGTTGCAGCAGTAGAATGAACGAGAAGAAGGCTTCGTGCAGCATGACGCCTTATCTGGCTCACCATGGGGCGGGCAAACGAGAGGACCACATGGCGTAGCAGCTGTTGTACAATACACACACACACACACACACACCCAAGTACACACGCACATGCATACACCAACTGCTTGGGTCCGGTTCCATTGTGTCCCTTGAGGGGATCGTCAATTCCGTTTCTTCGCACATTTCCGATTTCACCTACATCACTAGTATTATGATTTTACCGTGTACGTACAGTACTGTCAGTCGCCGAATAACTGGCGGTCAGCCTCCTAGCCTACACCGTTCTTATTTTCATGTACTGTGTAAGCAGAAATATTCGTCGGGAATTTAATTTCGTCTTTTTCGTCCAAGGAGCTTTTGGACTAAATCAAATGCTGGACTAATGTCGATTTGTCCAGCTTTTCAATGCACTCTTATGATCCATGGACGAAATTTTCAACTGGATGAGCTCCCTTTCTTTGGAGTTGGACGAAATTATTGACCGACGAAATTTTCTGCCTGTACAGTATCACAGTCTATGCACAGTTGAGTCACCGTGTATACATTGGTATGCTGTGCTTGATGAAACGGCCGTTCTTCGGTGCCCGACAGTACAGCACTGCAAAGTACTGTGAGAGTGCCCTATCATGTCGTCCTTTCGTGGCCGTCTTGTGAAGGTGGTTTCCTGCACGTAGGTCATACGACAGACCTTGTACACACAGTTCCTCGTTGTGCAGTCAATCCGTCCTCAGTTTAAATTAGAGCGAATGCGAGCTCCACACAAAAAAACACACGCCCAGTGTGACCTCAGTACACTAAGTACAAGCCTGATAGCACTCTGCCATACGGCTTTCTTTCCCGTGGCTGTGAACTCAAGGTGGGGCGCTCTCGCGGTACTTTACGGTAGTGGTATGATCATTGAACCTAACTGCATACAGTACTTAAATAGGGCCTCAAGGGCTAGTGGGTTATATCGCGACAGCCTGCAGGAGGTCTTATTACGGGCCTAACGTTTGTATTCACAAATACAGCCTCTTCTTGCTGCACATCAGTTAAAAAAAAAAAACTGGCGCACGTTATTTGCGCCCTATGTATGATCGATACAGGGTTGCACGCAGGGTTGTACGCAGCCCTGCATTGGGTTCAACCTCTCTCGCGGTCACTTTGCACTGTTGGCCAGCGTAACCTATTGAACAATGTAACGTGAGGAACCCGTTGCACACAGTTTGCGCTAGACGCGGCCAAAAGAGCGGGAGCTTCGTTGGCCACTGAGCATGCACGTGCTGTGCGGGCGCACAGCGGAGCTGATTTAGTGTACGCTGCATGCAATTTTATTTAATTATTTACTCAATCTGCGGACAGCATGCTGTTTCGTTCTTTTTGAACTCATCAGCGCAGCACAGAGGAAATGAGGCCGAACCTGATAGCAATGGAAATAAAAATTTATAATCAGGCCCGAACGTACCTTGCCAGAGTGCTCAAACTGACAAGTCAGTGAGCTCTGCATAACGCAAACAGCAAAGGCACTACCCCACGCAAGAGTGCTCAACTGCTACAAGAGCAGGAGCGAAATACTCAATCTGCGGACAGCATGCTGTTTCGTTCTTTTTGAACTCATCAGCGCAGCACAGAGGAAATGAGGCCGAACCTGATAGCAATGGAAATAAAAATTTCCAATCAGGCCCGAACGTACCTTGCCAGAGTGCTCAAACTATTTAATTATTTATTTAACTCACTCACTACAGCCACTAGTGCTCCGGAACAACCATACATGTTCGTATACTGATCACAGCACTTGAGCCTAGATGGTGCACGAAATTATGTACGACGTTAATTCCGGACGGAAATTATCCACTCCTGAAAATAATTACCCACTCTGTATGCAAATAAATCCAAGGTTTCACCAAGTAAAGAAAAACATCAAGAAACTGCACAAGACCCCTCCAAAAATGAAACAAATCCCCCTCTTTCTCGCCATGAATGCACTGCAAATCTTACTTACTGCAACTGCTCACAGCCAATCCTAAAAGGACCAGAGCTGCAAGTGACACCGGGCGAAAGGGCTGCATGAGCGCTAGCGATGGCGTAGACGTGATATGGATATGAATGAGCTTGATGCCGCGTGAGCGTTTCCTTTTCGCCTTTACTCTTGATCCAACTCTGGCTACTACAGGTGAAAGAGCGCAGCTGGAGCGTAGGAACAGTGCGAGTACAATACTCGGAAAGCCGGAGACGTCCGAGCTGTGACAGCTGTTCCAGTCTGTTGTACACTGAAAATACGGAGCTTTCCCCAATTCCTTTCTCGTGAGCCACGCAACTGAGAGAGAGACTGTGCCTGTCTAACTGCTGTACTGTGCCGCGCCTTTCTGTTATCAGCGACGGAGCGTAGATCTACTCCTACAAAATAAGACCGAGTGGCTAAAAGTGCAAATAGCCGTATTCCAAGCGGCTTTTTTCAGAGGTCATCATTAGCAAACTGCGCTGCTCTGTGAACTGATGTGAACGTGGTGAACGAACATACAGTGAGCTAGCTGTTTACGTTTTGTCGTGCGAGCGACACACCATTCAGCCTTTCAGGGCTTCAGCCCACAAGACTCTTTGAATGAATGATCTTGTCCTGCTGTCATCAATGGTCATCCGCGGCCGGGCGCTATCGATACTCTCCTTCAAAGAGTGTTGACTGACAGTCTGTTGGTTCTAGCAGGGAGTCGACCCCCTGGTTCTAGGTATACCCGTAGACCCGGGTGCTCGAATGAGACACAGGGTACCAAAACAGAAACACCCTGAAATTGTACCTAAACTTGTTCCGATTTCGTTTAGTTTTCACAAATACCATCAACATACGGCCTGCTAACGGTATGCCAAATTTCAGCGCTGCCCGGTAAACACTTTTTGAAATACTCGCGACCCACTTTTTGCTGGGTCCTTGATTCGAGGATATGGGTCTCCTGTACGGTGCTGCCAAAGACCTGCTGAATCTGCGGCTCCACTGACCATCTTGCTCTCAAAAATGAAGTAGTAAGTTACTACTCCCTGCCCTCAACTGCCACACCAAGGCAAGCGTAGACGATGGCAGACCCGTGTGCATGAATCGGAGACGATCTGACGATCTGATTCGAGCACCCAATTTTCAAATAAAAAATCCGAAGGAAATACGACAATTTTACTGCGTACTGTAGCTTGTGTTGTAGCGCACCCAGGTTCTGAATTCCTGCTGGGTGGGTCAAGCCAGACTCTCTTCCCTGTTCCATCGCCTCTCCAAAAGTATATTCTGACATTGTTGAGATTTACAGATGAGAAATTGCACACCTGTCAAATCGTTTCTGATTCGAGCACCCGGGTCTACGCGGTAGCGCATGTCATGTCAGCACTATACCTGCGCCGTCCGCCGGGGATAATGATACTAGTGTACTGCCAAGTGCCATGTCTAGCCAAGCATCGTTCATATAATTATCATGATTATGTGCTAGTAGTACAGTACATGACTGAAGCAAATAATTATTCTATAAAAATTTCTAATTAATTGGCAAGAATAGATAGCCAGGAAATCTAGAGACTGAATACATGAGCTTCACGGTACATGTACTGTACTGGTAAATCAACAAATTTGGCCCGTAAGAAGCTTTGGCCGATCTCGAAACGAAACTAACTTTTGGCTGTTTGGGGTTTTCAAAAAAAGACATAAAACGCTACAATAATAATTATTGTAGTTGTTGCTCTCACATGCAGCTAAGACTCAATCTTCCATCATTTGCCCCTATGACAAACTTACTTTGGCCGGTTGGCACCAGGCGGCGAAATCAGCGAAATTAACTTGATGATCGCCAGCAAAAATTAATTGATTTACAGTGATTGAGTTACCATGGCAGTATGGAATTTGGAAATTGCACCTTAAACCCTGTAAACACTAAAAGATGACATCATGGTGGCACGTCAGTGTGGGGTATACGGTAGGCACCGGCGGATAATCCACAAATGGTGGCAGATTCTGCTCGAAAAGCAGTGAAATTGACAGAACCAAACAAACCTTATGGCGGGCAATTCCTCGAATTCTGCTCCATTTCTTTATCCGCATACCAAACATGCATGAAACTTACCAGAAAAAGTACCAAATTATGCCAATTTTTCTGCCGGTGCCTAGTACACGGTAGGACTAAAGACTAAATGGACAAGCTTATCTATTTTTGCAGATTGTCATAAAGAATGAAATGGCAGGTACATGTAGCTCTATGTACATGTACGTGTTCGCGTCGAAGCGGTCCGGGCGAGCGACGGCAACTCAGTGGGACACTTGGCCGTGGTCTTTGTATTGGAATGTACATGTATAATGCTGTTTTCGCTGGCATGATTTTAGGATTTTGTTCGCGTTATTCTGTGGCCGTGGGGACAGAGAAAGCTTTAAAGAGCTGCAGATCTGTCACTGCAGAAATAATGTGGCTGCAAAATAATCCCCCCCCCCCCCCCCCCCCTCTCTCTTCCCAAATTATTGTCCATGTATCCGAGGGGACAGCCCAAGGCTGCTGACCCGTGACTTACACTAGACTACAGTAGAGTAGCCCGCTGAAGAACGTGGAGCCCAAGAACGTCCAGCCTGAAATGCTAAGAACGGTGGAGTTGGTTTCTGGCAGCTTGTGGGATACATAATGATCCAGTACGGATTGTTTCTTGGAACGTGCAATAAGAACGCAGCCAGATTGCTGAAAAATGAGAACGTTCCCGGCTAACCCCTTGGAAACAAAGTTCTTGGGCGCGCGACTCTACTGTAGTATCACAGAAGTACACGCAGTTTGTCAGGGGTAAATGCAGTTGCATCACAGGGCGGATACCTTGATGCAGTGAATTGTTTTTTTCTGCACATTGTCCGCACCTACTAACTTCACTGCTGTGAGCTCAAAACATTTATGGGATCATTTTTTTAATACAGTGTAAGTGCAACCAGAGTCTGCGGAGGGATTTCACGGCGTGTCGGAGACTCGGAGTGGATGGTTCAAACGGCAATCCAATTATTCCCACTGAAACTCCCCCTCCCCCCTCTTCCGGAGAGACCGCCGTAACCCGTTTCTGGGAGAGAGCAAGTTTTTTCTCGCACATGTACTTAAAAGTACATGTGCGAGAATTATATGCACGTGTGTGTGTGTGTGTGTGTGTGTGTGTGTGTGTGTGTGTGTGTGTGCGTGTGTGTGTGTGTGTGCGTGCATGGTGTGAGCGTGTGCTACACGTGCCATCTGTTTCCTTTGCCTGTGCTGGTTCATGCACTGTACAGTGCTGCTCAATGTACAGTGCTGCTCAATGTACAGTGCTGCTCAATGTACAGTGCTGCTCAATGTACAGTGCTGCTCAATGTACAGTGCTGCTCAATGTACAGTGCTGCTCAATGTACAGTGCTGCTCAATGTACAGTGCTGCTCAATGAAATCGGCGTATGCGTCAGCCATACGTTCGTCGGGTGCTGTGTAGCCCCAGACATGTGAACACAGGGCTATGCCTTGCATGAACAGGGCGCTAGCTTACTTTTAGTACGTGACTTGCACAGTCGGATTTCAACGAGCGTCACCGTAGTACGTCAAAGATTGAGCAGCACTGTACATTGAGCAGCACTGTACATTGAGCAGCACTGTACATTGAGCAGCACTGTACATTGAGCAGCACTGTACATTGAGCAGCACTGTACATTGAGCAGCACTGTACATTGAGCAGCACTGTACATTGAGCAGCACTGTACATTGAGCAGCACTGTACATTGAGCAGCACTGTACATTGAGCAGCACTGTACATTGAGCAGCACTGTACATTGAGCAGCAGTATTTTAAAACTAAAAACAAGAAGACTCGAAGTCGCAATGAATTTTGAAGCAAAGGGGCGTAAAGGCATGACTCCAGCTGTACCAACAGAACGCAAATCAATCAAAAAGCACACAGGGAAGTTGTCAAGGGAGCAGTCTTGCACTCGATCTAGCAGCCGGCACACCCACACACACACACCTACACCTACACACACCTGCATACACACACACACCCATGTACGTAGAATGGGGTGCTCAAATAGGCTGTTCAAGAAAGAAAGTTGCGGCAAAGGCGAGTAAAAGCCCAGCAACTGGCATGATAGCACGGGATTCGCACAATAACACGCTATGTGACATACAGGAATATGAAGCTATGTACACGTCAGCGGAATGACATCATCGCCAGCGAGCAATGGCAGGCTGACCCAAGCGAAGCGGATGAAAGGCCGATAGCGACACACTAAGCATACACCTTAGCTGTAGGCACAAGAACACAGAAACAGAACACAGCCCGCGGAGGTCAAGCAGAGTCAGCACAGCCCGCGGAGGTCAAGCAGAGTCAGCACAGCCAGCACATGGACCCATAGTCAGCCGTGCATTATTTCAACATTGCTGATTGTTGCTTACACTGAGTGTTCAACGCATGTCATATCTGCACCATATATTCCTCACAGCAGGAAGCTTGGCTACTGGTCATTGCGCAAGCACAGTTCTACGCATGGCCAGCAATCGAGGACATCTGAGAGTTGTAATTTTTGTACTCCTCCGAGGTGTGATTTTTGGCGTGCTGGGCCAAGCACAAGGAAGCCATCTGCAAAAAAACTGCAGAAAATGGTTGTTGTTTGATCCTTTGGTGCTATCTTTGTTTCTAGTCGAAGCTAGTTGCTGTTTGGAGCAGAAACGCTGAAATTGACTATTTTCTGCATGTACTCATACATGTACTCATGTACTCAGGCATGCAGTCTCACTAGTATTTTAGCTCTTTTTCTGGAATGGATGCTGCTCTGCGCCCCTTGGTGAACATTTCCTGCGCTCGTGGAGCAGCTGAAAGGACCACTGGTATGTCTGGCTCCTGGTTTGAAAGTTGAGAGTCGACTTTTGTGCCTTGAAAAAGGAGTAGAGAGCGATAAAGGTACGTCTGTGGCTTATTTTTGAGTGCTCCTCGTACATTTTTGATCGTGATAGAAATTCTCAGACCAAAGTCAGCGCGATGATGGCCGTACAGTTTTCTTGTGGATTTTTTAGTTGTTTCATCTCGTATCTATGTCAGTATCGTGATGGTGAAGTGGAGAGGGTGATTTTCTTCCTCTAGGCTTCGTTCGGCCGACTTTGCTTCGTCCTCGTTGAAAAGTGATCCGGAGAAAAAGGTCGATTCGCAAAATTATGTTGATTTTCAATGTACGTGATGCCATGCGATTGCTGGCTATGCTACTAATACCTGTGCATGTCGCAAGATATAACCGTGTCCAAAACAACAGCACCGTACAGTATCGCGGGAGATCTTCACCTTGATCTGAGATCAACATCCACACAAAGTATACTGGTATGGCTCGGAGCAACTAAGGCCATACCAAGAGTACCGGTAACTAGTTACACGACCCAAAGTGTACAACTCTGGGAGAATGAGACCGCGAAGAAATTTCTCATCTCAGCCATTTGGTTCAGTGATCATGCAAGCTGTTAAGTGGGTAATGTTTGCGATTTTTGCGAGAGGTTCGGGATCATAAACTTTGAACTGCGGAAAACTTGTAAAACGGTGGTAATTTTTGCAAGCTGCCGAATAAAAAAAGTTTGCCATTTTAGCGAGAGGCAAAAGACCAGATTTTAACTTCACAAACCAGTATCGATTTTCTAAACCGCAAAAGATTACTTGTCAGTTGTCACAAACGTTACTCATTTTTACAGTAGCCAGAGATCGAAGAGCAAAGAACTAGCTGCTAATTGCACACCGCAGCTATGGCAGTTGACACAAACCAGCGGACGGAAGATCCACGTGCCCTGAACATGATGAAGAGAATTGAGGTATTTACGAGGAAAGTGCGCAAGGTATACACACCGGGGAAAATGCTACGAAATCCTGCCGTGCACTACAGTCCATTCAGAAAAGGTTGAGCGCTGGCTCTGGAGAGCTCCCGTGTTTGGCGATTTTGTGCAGTGCCGCGCGATTCGAAACTTGAAAAAGGGTCCAAAAAGGCACCTCAACTGGGGTACGAACCGCACATGTACTGTTATGCAAGTGGAGTGAACGGCCTGGATTTTCATGGTTTTTACCCAATTCAGTGCTTTGGGGCAAAACCTGGCCGAAATCCTATTCTTGTTATGGCTTTCTTTTTGGAGAAATAGACTTCAAAAACACAATTGGAAGAGCATTCCATGGGAGATTGCCAAAAAAAGGAGACGGAAACTCAAAATTTGACCCGTTTGTGGTAAAACACTTCACTTTCTACTGTACAATCATGCACACACTGTCGCGGACAGCTGGCCAGCAGCTGCCGCGACAACGTCAAGATGGGAGAGAGACCTGGTTCGTTGTCACTTCTTTCACCACATAAAGAACACTGCTTGGAGAGAGAAAACTACCGAGAGAAGGACACGAAGCACTACAACAGAGCGCTCCGAAAAAGGATTCGCTCGCACGGCAGCGTACGCATGCCGTGCCAGCGTACTGTGTGCAAAAATGTGAAACCAAAAATAGATTATCATGATTTTGCTGCGTGCAAAAACCAGCCAGTTTGGGAAGTGCATTGTATACGCGCGTAGCGATCCCGCAATCGCGTATCGACGCATTATGGCGGCTGCACTGGAGAGCGCTGCCAGTGCGTGCATGCAAAAAAGGAAAATAAATAAATCAGAAAAACGCAGTTCAAATAAATCGACAGTTCGATCGAAGAGATCAAATAATTCCACACATGCAATTCATTGTCATTTCAGAACAAGATTATAGAGCGAAGCTAGTCATGTGTCAAGCTACCTTACTACAAATACTTACTATACCTAGAACGTAGCTATGGGCAGCGGACCTGGACCCTATCGCTCCTGGGATATACCTTAGGTAAGAGTGCGACGTAAAGACAAATTGTATATACTGTAAATTCAAATTGCACTCGTAACATGTATTCAAATATTAACAGTCCGGCATTCGCACATATTGCGACACTCCCGCCGAGAACAGTAAGCCTAGGTCTAGGACAAACATGCATGCTCAAATAATTAAACTAAACTGAATCCGACACAATCAATTGTCTTAGCTGTTCCATACTCCTTTTGGCCGCTTGCCTTTTGCTTTGACTTCTGTGCCGCCGTGCACTGTACAGCCGTCATTTTGGATTAGCTGCTGATCATTATCTGCAGCGCCGTTGTTGTTTGTTACCGAGCCGCCGTCCGCCGAACCGTTGTTTGTCGAATCGTTTTTTTCATTGTTTTTTCCATTAATTTATTATTAATATTCAGTTCCATCCGGTACAGCAAATTGAGTGGTCGCCTTAGCGTCTTGGCGCTTGGCAATCCAACTGTTGCTGACCTTACATTATTGTCGTTGCTCCGGTGTATTTTGTTAATTTCCCCAATTTTCCAAGTGCCGCGTGGCATCCTTTCCTCTTTCACTAGTCAGGGTTTGCACCAAGTCATGAAAATATTATTCAAGGGTTTTCAAGGGCCCCAAACCCCATTTTTTCAAGGACATTCAAGGACATTAGTTGGTGGGCTAACCGTTGGTGGAGCCAGACCAAACATTGTCACGTAGCCGCACTTGCGCTCGCTGCAGGCAAAGCTTTTCGCTATGTCGCTGTCCGGAAACATCCTGCAGAACAGTTTTGAAACTCCCACGCTGGAACGGTACGAGTAGTGGCATGTCACTACTTTCAATATCCAAAGAATCTCCGCTTGGAGGCAATCATTCCGGGTCACTCCGAGTGTCGACGCAGCAGCAGATTCGGTGGCACTACATGTTATTGCAGGTCCCGCAGTAGTACTACATGTACTACTAGCCGACGATGTCGACGTGGCGACTGGAACAGATGCTGCTATCGTTGCTGAGTCTGACGGAGACGGCTGGGTGGAAACGAAGAACTGGTTCACGGTGACCACGTTCTGCTCCGCCAGGTCTTTGTGCTTGCCGCCTTTCGCGTGGCTTCGAAGGGCTGACTCGCCCATCGCGGCAATATCGACCACCTTTTTGCACAGAGTGCATTTGGCTTGTCGCTTGTTGCCGGGGACAGACGCCAACCATCTACGAAACTCGGTCGTCTGTAGCCATTGCTCCTGAAAAACACACTTGCCACCTGGCATGATTGCAAAATGCTTCACTACGGCACTACTTACTATTATGACAGGCAAAACCATGCGCCCCACAAAGTCCTCCGAGAATGAAATGATGAAGAAGAAAGTGGCGATGATCGACGGTCAAAGTCCGACTCGACTCCCACTTTTGTAGCGAAAAGTTGGTTTAGTTCGCCGTTGCGACACACGTTCTCTGCACATGGACTAGCTGCTACTCAGTATATACCACCAAGAGTGGATCCACTCTTGGTACTAGATCTACGGACTACGGCACCGGTTACGGGTACCCAGCAGTGCGCGTAGACCTACTGCATGAACGTGAGTAGATCTACCGCATTCAAACCCAAATTCAAGGAAAAACACACTTTTTTCAAAAATTCAAGCACCCACACGAAAATTCAAGGTTATTCAAGCACTTTCAAATCCGGCTTTGACATTCAAGGACTTTCAAGGAATTCAAGGAGTGGTGCGGACCCTGCTAGTACGATATCCCCTGTACTTGGCTCACGCTCTACGGCACCTCGCTTCTCGGGCAGCCGGTAACTTCCACGTTCACGCAAACTACTCAGATAGCCGGTCTGCCACAGTTTCCAAAAGCTGGAAAGGATAGTGGCACCAACACGACACGTTTCCACCAAAGTCTGCGCCGAGCTTTGCTGTTCATTATAGTCAGTATCATCCATTACACTAATTGCAGGCATCCCTAGCCTGGGATTCATCGTTACAAAATGAGATGGGGTGAGGATATCGTCACCATCCACCATGTCTCCCACATACAATAGTGGCCGCGTATTGACTATTGCTTCCGCTTCTGCAAGAACCGTGGTTAATTCCGTTGTGGACAAACATTTTCGACCAATTGACTTACGCAGGGCGCGCTTAACGACCTGCACCATTCGTTCGTAGATGCCGGCCATCCATGGGGACAGCTCCACAATAAATGTCCACCTAGATCCAGTAGCACTTTTAAGTGCTACTGGATCTGGGTGGATATTTAAGTACGAATGTACATCTGCATCTTGAGAAATTGTATCCCACAATAGTTCTATTGCTTCCTTAGCCACTTTAAACTGAAATGCATTATCCGACAATATTCGATTGGGTGTTCCTCGTCTTGAAACAAATCTTCTCAATGCAAGCATAAATGCAGCAGCAGTCATGTCATCGACTAATTCCAAATGTACTGCTCTAGTAGTTAGGCAAGTGAATAAGCAAACCCATACCTTAGTAGTTACTCCTGATTGTTTCACGTACATTGGCCCAAAGTAGTCCAAGCCGGTATACGAAAAGGCACATGATGTAGTTAACCGATCGCGTGGTAGGGGTGCCAGCCGTGGCATTTTGAATGGGCCACCCTCTGCCTTGCGACATACATTGTATTGTTTAAGGATACGCTGCACCGTTGACCGTCCTTGCGGTACCCAATATTCAGTACGAAGTAACATCAGTGTATGACTCGCACCGCCATGCATTAACCGTTTGGGACATTCTTCAATTAGCAAAGTTGTGATTATTCTGTGCTTGGGTATTAGGACTGGGAATTTAGACCGTAGCGGTATATTTGCATTTTCCAGCCGTCCTTTGCACCGCATTATTTCGTTTTCATCCATAAACAGGCCGAGTTTGTTGGCTAGATCATTTCGCTTTCCTTTCTGAATTAACTTGAGCGTGTCTGGAAATTCCGTACGTTGCAAATGTCGTAGCCAAACCATTGTTGCATCCTTGAGCTCTTTTGATGTAAGAAACCCATTACAGTTATTACCACGCACACGTTCTATGGCTCTCAAAACATATGCTGAGACACGTATCAGTTTTCCCCAAAACGAATACCTTTCTAAATTCATTATCATTGGGTACTCCGTAGGACCCTCCGCCGCCGCCAGTAAGGTGTTGGCAGACTTTTCCAACTCCACGGTGTTCGCAGGAATCACCAACACCGATGGCCAACCTTTCTCATTGTTAATCCACTGGGGCCCGTGCCACCAGTTCTTGTTATTTTTCAGTGTGTCCACAGTGGCCCCGCGAGAAGGAGTGTCTGCGGGGTTTTCAGCTGTGTCCACATACCGGTACTCAACCGACGACAGAGACCGGATTTCATTCAAGCGCCGGTCCACAAATGTACCGTGTTTTCAGGTTTCTTGATCCAATGTAACACACATTGCGAATCAGACCACAGCACCAGTCTGGGTTGTTCCGAGAAATTCAATTGTGAGAGTACAAATCGTAACGACCGAATACCGATCAAGGCCGCCATTAATTCTAGTCTCGGTATTGTTAATTCCTTGATGGGGGCTAGGCGGGTTTTACTGAACACAAGATGACAAGAGTCAAAACCCGACTGCTCGTCGACAACCGCAAGGTACACACACGCTGCATATGCTGTGTGAGAGGCATCACAAAAACAGTGAAGTGTGTATGTGACTGCCCCTGAGTGTGTGACTGTCATCCGTCTCGGAATTTGAATTTCGTGGATCTGCTTTAGATCACCTGTGACTTCTTTCCATTTATTTAGAACTTACGTTGGGAGGATGTCGTCCCAGTCGCATTTCAATTTCCACAGGTTTTGAATCAGGATTTTCGGTTGCAACAGTATTGGAGATAGCAGGCCCATTGGGTCAAAGAACTTTGAGACGACCTGCAACATTTGGCGTTTGGTCCGAACGATCACGTGCTCAACGTCATGACCGACCAACGAAATCTGATCGGTGGGTGTACACCACTGCATACCAAGTACTGTCATGACCGTTTCAGAAACTTTGTCAAATTCTGGAATGTGAGAGAGGAAGTCGGAATTGTTCGAAGCCCATTCACGGAGGTTCATGGACGCCTGAGTAAATACTTGCTTTGTTTGATCATAAATTCGTTTGGCTTCATCTATTGTATTGGCTCCAACAATAACATTATCGACATATGTGTTGCCGAGAATCATCTTCGCAATCTCGTTGTCTGTTCGTTTTAAGTGCGTGTTGATAGTTGCACTCAGCAGGAATGGGCTGGAGATTACCCCGAACGGTATCCTGCAAAACCGATATGTGACAAGATTGTCCTTGGTGCAAGGCCCATTCAAGTCATCCCACCACAGGAACCGCGTTGTCTCGGTCTGCCTCTGCGAGGCCAACTTGCAGAAAGGCTTTCTCGATATCGCTAACAATGGCAAATCATGCATTCGGAATCGAAGTAGCAAACCAGCTAAGTCTGGAAGAAGGACCGGCCCTCTGAGCAGACATTCATTGAGGCTTTTTTGCTCCTTGCTGGATTTGGCGGAGGCATCGTACACGATGCGGACTTTCGTTGTGGTTTTACCCGGTTTGATTACACAGTGATGTGGCAAGTAATGTGCCCGTTGCGCAGTCCCGTCTGGATCGCGTATCGACGCATTATGGCGGCTGCACTGGAGAGCGCTGCCAGTGCGTGCATGCAAAAAAGGAAAATAAATAAATCAGAAAAACGCAGTTCAAATAAATCGACAGTTCGATCGAAGAGATCAAATAATTCCACACATGCAATTCATTTCAGAACAAGATTATAGAGCGAAGCTAGTCATGTGTCAAGCTACCTTACTACAAATACTTACTATACCTAGAACTTAGCTATGGGCAGCGGACCTGGACCCTATCGCTCCTGGGATATGCCTTAGGTAAGAGTGCGACGTAAAGACAAATTGTAAATACTGTAAATTCAAATTGCACTCGTAACATGTATTCAAATATTAACAGTCCGGCATTCGCACATATTGCGACACCGTTTATGGCCAAAAGCTAGGATATAAACCTTTTCTGAATGGACTGTAGTCAGCCACAAGTTCACCCTACAATAAAACGAATCCAGCTCGGAGCAGCCAGAGTGAAAGGGGAAGCTCACCCTGAAATCAAAATTCACCACCTGTAGTGAGAAATGAACTGATTTACAATAGTGAAAATCTCATGAGAGCACTCCCACCAGAGCCGGATGATCTCATTCAATTTGGTGACATCATGATGACATCATAGTTTGCCCAGAATTTGCCAGATCTCGGATGTCACGGAGATAAACCTTGTATGGGAGTAGATCAGGAAATTGAAGTATTTTTGCTATCCGCTGTCACCAAGAAGACAGAGGTTTTCAAACTCAGGTATAGGACATACCGGTATGACACCTTATCGGTGTCGCAACAGGAAAAAAAGTCTGGCAGGAAGTATGCTGTTGTGGCGGAACAGGAAAAAAATTGGCTGTTCCTCATCTAGTCCAATCCAAAGTTCATCCCTGTGACATTACACATGATCATAGACCTGGCCTATTCTAAACAAAGTGTGATGCCATCATGATGTCACCGAAATGAATGAAACCTTCCAACTGGCAGCTGCTGTAACTCCGAAGCAGATGCTTTGATCAATCTGAGATTTTCACCATTGGAATCTGTTCATTTCGCACAACAAATTGTAAAATTTTATTCCAGGTTGAACTTCCCAGTTAAAACTGATCAGCAGCTCCGAGCTGGATTCGTCTCCTACTTCTTTTGCGGCCAAATGCGAAAGACCTGTATTGGCCGGGGATACATGTAGTGCAGCAGCATGTGTACCTACTTGTGGTTGCTGTGCAGGCTACTGGCGCCACAGTCTGGTAGTTAGGGCCGGTGGTTGTGATGAAGGTCGTCTGCCTCTGCTGGCGGTACTGGAATACCGGGCAACATGCGCAGCACAGGCAGCACAGGATCACGCCGCCGAAGACCAGGAAGCACGTGGTCACAATGATGCCGACGGCCCTGGTATAACAAAACACACACACAGCGAGAGAATAGAGTAGGTTCACATCAGTTAGTCATGTGACTAAATTTGTGCAGAAAGTGATCACGTCATGTGAATGGTGGATTCCGAGTGGAACCAACATGGGCAACATCACGTGGCCCATAGGTGCGAAACGTTGAGTGGAGTTGGAACCAACATGGCTTCCTCAACTGGTCATGTGACATAATTATGTGAAACCACTGTATGCGGAGAATTGAAAATGTGCTCACCATCAGAACCAGTCCACTCCATGTACACATTACCCAAACATACACAAACCACCCAACGGACACAGCTATCCACTCAATTCTTTGTGTGATACATTCTCATCTTCAACATCCCATCTCCTTGGTGTCTAAACTGGTCTCATCCGCGCCGACACTACTAGACTCATGAAACTTCCTCATTGCCATAAGGGAAATCTAAAATAATGATACATGTACTCGCATACTTGGTCCGCGTCAGCAATATTGTCGCTTATCTTTCGACAATTTGAACTTAGACTTTGGACATCGACACGTGCACTTGAGACGATTAAACTTGGAATGATGGAAGGTAAGGTACAGAGTGATAACTGGCAATGAGGAATTTATTGTCCAAGGAAGGGTTCATACTTTTTAGTCCTCCTCGTCGCTGCTCTCAGCGCTGGTGACAAATATGTTTTGCTCGGGATCGATACTCTCGCTTTCGCAAGCTCATCTCTTTTCCTCTCCGCTGCCTGGCTATTTTCTAAAGGGAAGTCGACCGTGACGGTCGCCTTCTCTATAGGACTTCGCGTCGGCAGCACGACTGCCTGTGTGGTTCAAATCAGTCGCCGTTCTTTGCAAGATATATTTTGAACAACGACGATGGCTACAGTACTTGCAAATCTCCACGATGCGCTGGATACGCCGAGCGTTGGGCTGGAGACGAGGGAACTGCGATCTCAGCTTGGTGAGCGATCCCTGAGGTGAGCGACCTCGGCTGCTTTGCAAAATGGAACTGATTCTGAGTAGTCGATTACTTTCTTGTGCGTCGCGCTGCTCTTGCCTGTGCAGTGTGACAAGATAATCTATTTTGATGCGTCGCTGTATCAATCAGAATCACCCACCCGTCGCTCTCGAAATCTAGCTAGATCTTTCAGGTACTAGTAAACTAACTTACTAACCAAGATTGGGATGAAATGGGCTGCCAAGTGAACATTGGCGACATAAAAACAAAGCTGAAAGATAAGCGACAATATTGCTGACGCGGACCAAGTACATGCTTACAGTTCATTCAGAAAAAAGATGAGCGCTGGCTCTGGAGAGCTCCCGCATTTGGTGATTTTGTGATACTCTGTGCAGTGCCGCAAGATGCGAAACTTGAAAAAGGGTCCAAAAAGGTACCTCTCAACTGGGGTTCGAACCGCAGATATACTGTTCTGCAAGTGGAGTGAACAGCCTCGATTTTCATTTTTTTCCCCAATTCAGTGCTTTGGGGGCAAAACTTGGCCGAAATCCTATTCTTGTTATGGCTTGCTCTTTGGAGAAACAGACTTCAAAAACACAACTGGAAGAGCATTCCATGGGGGATTGCTGAAAAAATTGTGACAAAAACTCAAAATTTGACCCATTTATGGCCAAAAGCTAGGATATCATCTTTTTCTGAATAGACTGTAGACTAAACAAACGCAGGAGACACGGGGCTGTTTTTGCTGAAACATCAGGCTCGTCTGGTCTCAGCTATTTCTCTCCTTGTTCCTAACAACTTCAAATTGGTTTTTCAAGCATCCACAAGTCCATGTGTCGTTTCAAATGAGTTTCCACATCACTGCATGCTCAGGAAGGTGGGGAAATCCCTCATTCAAATCTGCGTAAGCAGCTATAGAGCAACGTTTGGCGGGATTCGACTTTCGAGCTTTGTAACCCTGGAACCACACATCGAAGCGAATCGGCAATTGTTTCAATAGACAGAAATGACTTGGTTACCATCGATTGGAATAAAGCAAAGTGTCGATCCAAGGCGAGTGAAAACTGTATGATCAGCATAAAAATAATTTTTGTCCCCGAGAAGATGTTCCAGTACGCACGCAGGGCCAGAGAATTAAGGGACCACGAGCGCAGTAACTCTTGCTATTGTGTACCACTCATTTTCTTTCCATTACGGTTAATTTTGTAACAATATAAATAATAATACATGGAACAAAAAGAATTGTTGCCCCCGTACTCACCATCCTGCAAGACCTACTGAGCAGCAGGCAGTGTTGTACACGCTGTACGAGCAGCACTGGGTCAACTCCGGATAGCCTTGCAGTGGACAGTGCACCAATCCGCACTGACGCGCATCTGGCATGCACAAAAAGAGAACAAGGCAGCGGCGAAGAGCGAAATCAGCCAACGCACTACCTCAGACCGAAAAGCATGGGGGGGGGGGGGCTGAACACTGAATAGGGCTACTGCAGCGCAACTAAAAACAAGATAGGTGCCTAGCAGCCGATGCACTGCAGATGTATATACAGTGAAACTACTGCATTGTACAGTGAGTGTTGGTCAATAGGGCTGGAAAGTGATGCCATGGGGTCACATCGACACCAGTCGGGTATATGTCCAGTAAAACCTGTCAAGGCGACCACTCGGATAAGGTGACCACCTGTCCCAGAAGACCACTGCAACCAGGATCAAGGGATGCTATTGTTGTAGTACGTTATTTTGTGTACGTCATGTTGGTGCATGCGCGTGTTGCTGTGGTGTAAAAAGCAGTCTTCGTCTCGAGTTCATGAGGTCTTCGTCTTGAGTTCATCATGTCTTCGTCTTGAGTGCATGATGTCTTCGTCTTGAGTTCGTCATGTCTAGTTGTGTTTCGTCGTCGTGTCAATAAACAGTCTTCTAAATGTAGTTATCGTCGTCCCTTTGTATAAGTGTGGAGATGGCACGGGACTGGGAGCAGGTAGAGAAAAGCGAGTTACAACATTGGTGGCAGCGGTAATGGAAATTGTTGTAAACTTCAACTTCTGGATTCGTCCTGCGTGGCCTTCGCTCCCAGTTTCCGATGTCATCTCCAGTCGTCCTATCGTCACAGTTTTGTCTGTCTTGAAGAAGTTCGTCCGTCGTCCTCGTCCTTCATCATTCGTCTCTCCCGTCTCTTGGCAGTCGTCGTCACTGGTGGTCCCGGACACGACGTAAAACTGTGCCCAGATCAGAAGAAAAGAAAAAGAAGGATGGATGGTCCCGGACACGACGTAAAACTGTGCCCAGAAGAAAAACTGAAACAGAAAAAAAAGAAGGATGGAAAGTGAAGGCTGCAGAAGGATATCGACGCTGAGCAGCGCTCCTTGAGATGGCGGACGACATGGCAGACGGCGTGAGGAGTTTCGTTGGTGAGAGGGTACGTGTGTTGTTGTTAACGTGATGAGTATGTGAGTTGTGTATTTTCTGTTCTCCCAACATTTTGTTCTTTATTATTTGCTCTCCTCGAGGGTAAAGAGGCGCCCGCACAGCGCGTGTGTTCTGTTTGTTTTTTGATTTGCTCTTCTATGAGGATAACTAGAGGCCCCCACAGAGCCAGTGGATTCTGTTCTTTTTGTTATTCTTATGATTTGTGCTCTCACATTTTAGAATTTTTGGGTGATCGTGAGGTGGTGTGTTGTGTGAAGTAGAGTTTTTGAGGTTATCAGTTCCTACACGTGTGACAGCGATCGTGGCTGGTGTTCTGGGTGGGCGGACAGAGTTTTTGAATGATCTGCAGTGCAGGCAGAGGTATTTTATTTCTGGGTGTGACTGGTGTGGTATGATTGAGTGATTTGTGTGACCTTTTCCTCTTTTTTGTTTTATTATTAGAATCGAGGACGATTCTACTCTTGGGAGGGAGTTATGTTGTAGTACGTTATTTTGTGTACGTCATGTGTACGTCATGTTGGTGCATGCGCGTGTTGCTGTGGTGTAAAAAGCAGTCTTCGTCTCGAGTTCATGAGGTCTTCGTCTTGAGTTCATCCTGTCTTCGTCTTGAGTTCATGATGTCTTCGTCTTGAGTTCGTCATGTCTAGTTGTGTTTCGTCGTCGTGTCAATAAACAGTCTTCTAAATGTAGTTATCGTCGTCCCTTTGTATAAGTGTGGAGATGGCACGGGACTGGGAGCAGGTAGAGAAAAGCGAGTTACAACACTATTTCCAGTCAAATGACCCTGGATAGGGAGACCGCCCGGTTGCAAAAGACCACTTTTTGAAGGTCCCTTGAGTGGTCGTCTTGGACAGGTTTCACTGTAGTAGCAATTGCTCATATGAATGCTTTATGTGTTGGGTCCCTGGGTCCCTGGGTCCCCCCCCCCCCCCCCACACACACACATGCTACAGTGCTGGTCTATGAAATCCGATGGTGTGAAATTAGATTGCACCCTGCGCCAGTTCACATCCCTGTGTTCACAGGTCTAGGGCTGCACAGCGCCCTGCGCCAGTTCACATCCCCGGCAGTGTTCACAGGTCCAGGATGGAACGGCACGCAGGCGCGTGCTCGGCGATGGGCACGGGGGGCACGTGCACCCCCCAAAAATTTTCAATCTGGGTAATTGCAATTGTAATGTATGCAAATATGCTCTAAAATTCAAGAAAGGTTGTAAACAAATTGCAGAAAATTGCCGGGGGGGGGGGGCTCCCCTCGGCTCCCGTGCATCCCCCTAGTTGGGGGGCCGAGCACGCCCCTGCTGGTGCATACTAGACTCACGCTATTGGATTTCAGCGAGCAGCAATGCAGTTCGTATGTGAAGTGTGTTGGACTAGGAATGACTACAGTGAGGGCCACACATGCAACCAGCCTGTATAGTTTCACAGGGAGCGTTGCCCCCCCCCCCCCGGACCCCCTCCACAGCTGCCCCCCCCCCCCCGGACCCTCCACAACTGCCCCTCCCCGGACCCCCTCCACAGCGACCTTTGTTCGTACCACTTCCAAAGCCCTCCTACGACCTCGCCAGTGGCATTGCACACTGTACCCGTATGTGGTTGCTACATGTACCTGCACCAAGAGTACATAAGTTCCCGAGAGTGTGCAACTCTGGTAGGGATCTCAGCGCGTGCAGTGCGAAGCGTGTTTGTGCATACATTGTGTCATCGAGTTTTGAGTGCAGCTCGCGGACACAGCAGAAAATGGCGACGGTCGATTTTCGACACTAGCGGAAGCGGTGGACACTAGCGGAATCGTCATCTTCATCGTCGTTCGAGCATACTTTGTGATTCCCGCCAAAGGACAGCGTGGCCAAGGCGATATAGCCCCGGTCGATTTTCCTATAATTTGCCATGCGGCAAGAACCCACTACAGAGAGGATTCAGTCAAGAATTCAGACGTTTTCTCCGGTTAAATTGTCCTAACTTCGATTTTCAGTGCATCAGCCATCGCGAACATCGCCACCATTATCACTCAGAGAGAAGACATCCCGCTCAGTAGAAGAGGTGTTCACGCTGCGTCCAAGAGTGAAATATTGTAGTGCTGAAACGAGTACGCCGAGTACTCGAGTACCCGCTCGTTGAGTACTCGACTCGATATCAAAAAAGGACTCGATAAATAAATAAATAAAAAACTTGATAGCAACGTACACATCCGTCGTCCATGTGGCTTTGCAATGAAAATTTGTGTTTATTGAAGGATATTGAATTGTGTAAATGGTGTGCAAAAAATGGGTATGTGGTACTGACATATATGCGCATGATTGCTTATAGAGTACTCGATACTCGACTCGATAGTGACAGTACTCGCTCGATAGCTTATAGAGTACTCGTTTCAGCACTAAAATATTGTGCTCTTTGACCCTCCATAGTTCCTCTGAGAGTGTCTGGGAGATAGGTAGCTTGGATGGCCGTAGAACGTGCTTTCCTGGATGCAACATTCAGCCATTTCTACTGTCTTCTTCAACTTGATTTATTTCGAAAAAATGTTCTTTTCCACGGTTTCTTCACTGGACGCGTTTGGGATCGAAATCTCACATGCATAGACTGGCTGCGCAGTTCAGCACACTGTGTTGTTGTTGTTGTTTGGCTTTATTTAAAGTGGAGTTCCAAAACAGGCCTAAACCTAATGACAATGGTCCCACTGATAATAAGAGAAAAGAAAATATAATAATAAGCGGACAAACAGAACCAAGAAGAAGATACAGCTGTAGTTAGATAACTAATATGAGCACGGCAGCAGGGGAAAAAAAGTCACAAGCACGGCAACCGGGAAGAAAGGAGTGAGTGAGTGAGAGAGAGAGAGAGAGAGAGAGAGAGAGAGAGAGAGAGAGAGAGAGAGAGAGAGAGAGAGAGAGAGAGAGAGAGAGAGAGAGAGAGAGAGAGAGAGAGAGAGAGAGGGTAGTGAAGCAGATGAGTTCATCCTAGTTGACGGTACTGCCTAACAGAAAGGCCAGGCTTAGCGATTTGAAAGTGGAGCGCTTTCTTTCGAGGCGTGCTGTGTCTGGGAGCTGGTTCCACAGGATAGCTCCAGCATGGCTAATGCGCTTAGCTGAGGATGCAGTGGGGGAGACAGGAATGATGAGTAACTTGCTGTTCCCTCCTCGTGTTCGGAGAGAGGGACTACGGGTGAAAAAGCTTGCAAACAGAGTACTTGAAGATTTGTTCAGGCAGCGCCAAATGAATACAAGGATGTGCATGTGGGTGTATATGCTGAGGGTATGGGCATTCATGCGTTCAAGTAAGGGAGCCGTGTGAGTGCGAGGGGCTGCCCTGCACACCGAGCGAGCCGCACGTTTGAACAAACTATTTAGGCGCTTATCCTGATAAGACGATAAGAAAGGGGCATAGGCAGCAGATGCATAGTCAAATTCTGATAGTATAAAGGACCTGAAAAACTGAACACGGCAAGAAAAAGGCAAACATGCTGCACTTCGATTTAGTAGCCCAATCTTAGCGGCAACGCGGCGTGCAACATGGCTTGTCATGGTGTTCCAGCTCATGTCTGAGTCGAAATGTAGGCCAAGATACTTGGCCGTTTTCACAACAGGCAGCGTCTGCCCATTACAAATGACATGCAGCTCAAGTGCTTGAGATGGGGATGGGGGAATAGGCAATATCTGTGTCTTTCTTTCGTTAAGAATTAAACCACGGCCCTTCAGCCAGGTGGCCAGGTGCTGAACAGCAGCTGAAAGGTGTGCAGAAACAGCTTCCGCAGACTCCCTGCTACATCGTATAGAGATGTCATCAGCAAACTGGATTGCTCCCACATTAAACGGTGATAGTTCTTCTGCTATGCCGCGGGCATAGACAATAAATAGCAGTGGGCCCAGTACCGACCCCTGGGGGACACCTGAGTAACTGGTGTACGGGAGACTTCTAGTCTGGCCAACCTGAACGTACTGTTCTCTATCAGAGAGGTAATCCACCAGCCAACAGAGTGCCGTGTCGCAGATGCCAAGTTCGAACAGATCTTGCACAAGAGTTTGATGTTTCACTTTATCGAATGCCTTTGACATATCAACAAAGGCTACACCTGTGTTGAGTCTGTTCATGCGGGCCTCACAGATACCTTCCACAGCTAGCACTAGTGCGTCGGATGTAGAGTGGTGGGATCTGTAGCCGAATTGAGTTGGCGGGAATAAATTGCTCTGAACTAGATATCGTGTGAGTTGCTCGTGGACTATCCTTTCCAACACTTTGGATGTAATCGATAACAAGGACACTGGTCGATGATTCTTTGGCATGCTCGGATCTCCGCCTTTGAAGAGTGGCGATATCCTAGCACTTTTCATCTGGGCAGGAAATATGCCCTCTCTCAGGGACTTGTTAAAGATCAAAGTCAGGGATGGCGCCAGTACGTCTGCATGTGCGCGGAGAAGGGCTGCAGAAATGTCATCATCACCGCTGGACTTGACCGGATTTAAACGTTCGAGGAGCTTCCTCACTCTGGCAATAGACACTGGCGCAAAGGCTGTCAGATCAGTGCTTGAGGCGGGCCCGTAGGGAAATGAGAGATGCACTGGGCGGCTGGCGTCCTCTACTATCTCTGCAAAGGTGTTTCGGATGGCATCAACAGAACATTGAGGTGGCTGAGATTGTCGATGTTTACCACTCAATTCTTTGATCGTGTGCCATGTCTGTTTGGTATTGCCAGACGCAGCTCGAAACTTGGATTGGTAGTAGGTCTCTTTCTGTTGCCTATTATAGCTGGTAGCTTCCCGCACTGTGTGGTGTTCCATTGTACATCAGCCAGTTTTAGTGACTGGTGAGCTTAGAAATAGCACTCCGGACAGAAACCCGCTCATCTTATGCAAGTCACCAGTCATGATCATGGCAGTTAGTAGTACATCAGCCTGTTTTAGCGACTAGTGAGTTTTGCTTGTACTATCGTACTCGTCAACGGAAGTTCGGAGTGATTGTATTTGCAGCCCACCTGTCAACTTCTAGTAAGTAATATTTTGTGTGTAATGCTATGCGGAAACAAACATTCGGCTGGAGCCTGCCGGCACTCCTTCCATAAATAGCTGTATCAGCATGCCGCCCACAGTCACAAACCGGCCCAGCGGAACAATACTTGGCAGGTAATGGAATATTAAAGAGAGTACATGTGAAACAGCGGGAAGCAAAGCCAGATGTGAGCCGCCCACAAAGCTCAAGCAATAGCTACTCGGCACCTAATCCTCAACGCCCAGGCAAAAAAATTCTTCGGCCAGCACATATCATACGCACAGAAAAAAGGCTGCTGGTATTAGTACATAATATTATTATTATGCTTCAGTTGTTCTTACCAGTCGATCCAGCGAGGACAATCAGCACGACGCCAATCAGGGCGTAAACTGAGAGAGCCATGGCTGAACTGAAGCCTGAAGGGTAGGGAGCGGCTAGGGACAGTCACACGGAAGGAGACCGGAAAATGCTCAACAACTAATTACTTGAACAAGTACTTGCAGTGCTAGTAAGCCAAGGACAATCGAATGCGCTTGCGCAGCATCCATCGCCATCGCGGCATCGGCCATCACCAGATCACGGCATCAGGGATCTGGGCCTGGCAGATTCTGCTCCGCTCGCCTCGATATTTTGCCGCAAAATGTTGCTGCGAAATCTTCGATATTTTGCTGAGCCTGGCAGAAGAAACTCGATATTTTGCTCCATTTTGCTCCGGTTCCCGTACAATCCCGTACAACGTTTCATAAAAATCGCAGGGTCGGTTTCTCAACACAGGTTTCCACGCACGTGTCCCTGAGTTCTTCCAAAATCATGTTGCTCCTGTCGCGTGCTACGACTTGCTACGTCATAATTCTCACAGTCACCCACGTGGCTTTTGTGCTGCCCACGCTGCACTTTTCCGCAATGTTTTTGGAAGCACTGGCTTTAGCGTAGATCTACGTTAGCATATAGGGCTTGAAAGTGCTACGTCACTCCATAGCAATGGCATAGCAACAATTTGAAAAATTCGAAAACTGGATCCACCTGGATCCAGTTTTTGTATGGATCCAAGCACATTTCAAGCGGTCTCACTCACAGCAAGGTGATGTTGCCAGTGAAACTGACTGATTTGGCTAGTGGGGGCGGGGTTACAACTGGTGGCGAAGTAAAAGTTGCACCTGCATACGACATGAGTGGGTTGCTATGCACCCACATACTGAGGCAATAGCAAAGTCACACCTTAGTGGATCCAAAATAGAAATCTGATGTCAATTTACTACTCCCAGGCCGTTTTTGACGTCATCACTTTCAAGCCCTATTGGCGTACCGTATGCCACGAACCTCACTTTTGCATACGGCTGCCGCCAGCCAGCTTGCCTTTCTCTACCTGACAATCTCTCTGCTTGCTTGGCCCTTGCCGAAGCACCTTTTTATGGCTCCTTGCCCCTGTACTTATTTCTTGTTCATATGTAGTCTGCCGAATCTTTCTAACTGTAACGTGTAAAGTAATCATTGCCGCTAACTATCGAAGTGTCCGTTGTGACCAGGAAGTGGCCCGATTCGCGCGCCCCCTTAGCAGACGCAGACCTAAATTTGCTAAAATCCACAGTGAATCCCAGTGATACTTCGGTGACATGATCTCGTCCTGGGCAGTGTGTCCTGCTGAACGAGTAAGAAACAAGGAAATCCAAGTATCAGGCATCGATTTTACCCAACATCTCGATATTTTGCTCCCATTTTGCCGGCAATTTCCGCTCTTTCAATTCTTCGATATTTTGCCGAAAGAATTGCCGGCAGGATCTGTCTGGGCCTACTGGGGAGTATCAAAAAGTATTCTTTCTAGACCAAAGAGTGGTATATTTGATAACATTTTAATAACGATAGAAATTCTTACGATACTTCTCCAGACGTCAGTGGATAAAGAATTCTTTATCCACTGACGATGTTGTTCAGAACAACTAAACGTCTGGAGAAGTATCGTAAGAATTTCTATCGTTATTAAATGTTATCAAATATACCACTCTTTGGTCTAGAAAGAATACTTTTTGATATTACAATGAGAGTGAATAATCAACGGCTTGTCCACCAACTCTTCTACTGGGGAGTCGTAGATCTACTCACACCTGATTCTGGTACGTATGCTGGTAGCCCTTTCCCAAAGGTGCTCTTTTCGCACTTAGTGCTTTTCGCGTCCCTCAAAATATGCTGAAAAAGTGCTCTTTTTTCAGTGAAAACAGACAAAAAGTGCTCTTTTTTCAGTGAATACGCACTCTTTTTACAGAATTGTGTACACCGGGTACAAGCTTGTACCCGGTGTACACAATTCTGTAAAAGTGGGTTTTTTGAGCTTTACTTCCTGTTTTGCCTTTCGAAGAGTGCGTATTCATTTCTCAGCTTGGCATTGGGTTCATATTTGCACATGTATCATGGGCCTTTCATGGCTATGCTTCACTGAAAAAAGAGCACTTTTTGTCTGTTTTCACTGAAAAAAGAGCACTTTTTCAGCATATTTTGAGGGACGCGCCAAGGCCCATCGAGCACTCGGAAACTGTGATCGCATGCATGAGCAAACAGATTTTAGCACTTTTTCAGCTAAAAAAGCTCAAAAAGGGCGATATTCACCAAAAAACGCAATAAGGGGCGAAAGAAACGGGCTTTTCCAAAAAGGGCCAAAAAGGGCGAGCACCTTTGGGAAAGGGCGATATGCTGGTCTGGGCACAGATCAATTCTGCTCTGAGTACGTGTCCCAGAAGGTCGCATCGTGGTGCAACGAAATACACGTCTTGGCCAAGTACGCAGCATCCCAGCCTCAAGCAGCCTATGCCGTCTTCACTCATGCCCTACGGCACAAGTGGTCTTTTCTGACCAGGACCATGCCTGCTATCTCTGATCTCCTTGTGCCCCTGGAACAAGCCATCCGCCTCATCTTTCTGCCAGCACTCACTGGTCGCCAAGCTCCGGGTGAAAGCGAGCGCACGATGCTATCGCTCCCCTGTCGCAATGGTGGCCTGGGACTCATCATCCCCACCGGTTTATCCAGCCAGTACTCCGCCTCTGTCTCCATCACCAAACCACTAGTGGAGAGGCTACTGAAGCAGGAGGAATCCACTGAAGACGTGTTTTCTGCCATCAAAGCCGCCAAGTTGGATGTACGTGTGACCGCACGCCATGATCAAGCTGTGGCCCTGTCCTCCTTAGGCCTTGACGGATTATGCTAATATTTTCGTGAAATTATGCTTTTCGCATTGCTGAAAAAATTGCAGAATTATGCTATTTTTATGCTAAAAGTTATCATATTATGCCGCATTATGCTCACATAATTATGCTTCTAATGCACATGTATATGATGGTTCTGTGCAAAATAACAAGGGAATTGTTTTGTAGAGGGCGTTATTCTGTAGTAGCAAAATTTCAATGAGGTCAACGCACCGTCCAACCTAGCTACGACCGTCACTGATTGCAGTGGACTGGACTTGTTATCACGGGAGTCATAAACCTACGACTTCCTGGTGCATCTACTTGTACAATGTACTTGTACATAATGTACAACTGTATGGAATTTGATGCGAACAGGCGGATTATGCGATTATTATGCAATTTGCCTCGAATTTTGCGATTATTCGATTTTGGTAGGAATTATGCGAAAAATTATGCTAGCATAATCCGTCAAGGCCTAGTCCTCCTTCAGGGACCAGCTCAGCCTGGACGACCAAAGGATCTTGGATCTGGCTGCAGAGAAGGGCGCCTCAAGTTGGCTCACGTGTCGGCCATCTCGCCGCTTTCAATTCACAATGCCAAAGTCGGGATTTCGCGATGCCTTGTGCCTACGATACGGCTGGACCCCTCCCCGACTGCCAACCCATTGCGTCTGCGGCATGCACTGTCGTGTTCGGTTGGTGGCTTCCCTGGAATGCGGCACAATGAGATTCGTGACCTCACCGCCAATTTGCTGGGGGAAGTAGCCCACGATGTTTGTGTGGAGCCTGCACTGGAGCCCCTGTCCGGTGAAATGTTCCCTCTTCGGTCGACCAACATCGAAGACCATGCTAGGCTGGATGTGGCAGCGCGGGGGTTGTATGGGAGTAGGTTTGAGAGGACAATGTTTGATGTTCGGGTGTTCAACCCTTTTGTCCCCTCAAATCGAAACCTTACACTCCCGTCTGTCTACAGAAAGCATGAGCAGGAGAAGCGGAGGAAATATGAGCGGCGAGTTCTGGAGGTAGAGCACTCCTCCTTTGTGCCCATTGTCTTCTCCACCACTGGTGGACAGGGAAAGGCCTCATCTGCGCTGTTTGCCAGGATTGCCAGCAAACTGAGCGACAAGCGCGACGAGCCTTTTTCCGTCACTATGGCTTTCGTCCAGACCAAACTGTCCTTCAGCCTAGTGAGAGCCATGGTTGCTAGTCTGCGCGGCTACCGGCGCTCTTCAGTGCCACTTCCTGTTCACTCGGCTGCTCTGGCGGCTGCTGAGTGTTCATTGTAAGCGTATGACACAAGTACCAGGTCCGGTTGATGTACATGGAGTTGCTTTTACCTCTCTTTCTTTCTTATCTTTTCTTTTCCTTCTTCTTTTTCTTTTTTCTCTTTTACGTTTACTTTATACCAGGCGTGGGCCATCCCCTGTACATAGGTGCCATCATTTTTCTTTGTTTCTTTTTGGCCAATCCGGATTCAGAATTTCAAAAAAAAAAAAGTTTCTCAAAAAAAATTCGGGTACGTATACCAGACCGCTTGCATGCTACCAGCGTCATGAGCGTGAAAAACGGAGGCGATACGAACAGCGCGTCAAGGAGGTCGAGCGTGGAACCTTCATCCCTGTGGTTTTCGCAGCAACTGGTGGTACTGGTATGGTATTTTTTTTGGGTATTGATTTATTTGAATTCGGTATCTCAACAGTACATTGTACAACTTGGGAAGATCCGAATGACATAGATACATAAACATAAAAGTGGAGTAGGTGCTACAGCGGATCATTTTATCGCAGATTGTGGGACTAAACTAATACCAGTATGCAAGTACACAAGAAATAAAAGCTGAATAAATACGACTGCATGACATTGGAGAAAAGCACCAATTAGAGCAAAACAAAGCGACACATCACTCATCGAAAACATTTTCAAAAAGGAGCTGTTTTAACCGGGTACATTGTGGCCCGTCATTAAGAAGGCAGGCAAGATGGGCGTTAAATGCAGAAGACGTATTGCAAGACTTCATTTCGAAGGGCAGAGCATTCCAAAGTAAAGCAATCCTACTAGACAATGAGCGATACCCGCATGCAGTCTTATATCGGCATAACGAAAGATTATTTGCAGAAGAGCCGCGAGTGGTGTAAGCAGGTGTACTGTGCCTACAAAATAGAGAATCTAAACTGGCAACCGGGTGAGCTACTTTACACTGAAAGATAAATTTAATGAACAACTGTAAGAAACGGTGGTCCAGACGACATAGCTTAAGAGAGTGGTAAAGGGGGTCCACGTCAGCACAGTAGTAGTGGTAGTAGTAGTAGTAGTAGTATTCTTTT